AAGTGTTGATAGCATCGATGGTGACCTTTTCAGCGGCGATACAGGAACATAAAAAGCTCAACGATATCGCGTCTCAAAACGCCACATTTTCCACTCATCACTTGTCTTAATAAGCACTCATCTAGCGTTAATTTTGTGGTGTTAGATTGCAGAAAACGTGGAGAACGGCGTGTGTGTGAGAGAAATACGATGAATGGAAAGAATGATATTTTACATTTGATCTCTACTATTGCAGAATATCGTAGTTTTTTCCTCAACTCATTCGTTAAATTCTTCCCATTCATGTTGATTAATATCTTTTAATGCGACAGAGATCTCAAATCAATACAGCGTGCAGGTGTCTCAAATGATCAAATGAAGCTTATGAGAAAATTCCATGGACAATTATTGTGTACATTTATGACGATTTTAAATGAAAATTGCCTTCAATCTTGCCATGGGTGTATTGAGTGTGGCAGGTGAATTGCATTCTCTTCTTCTTGTCCGCGCGATGCATTATCAACGTCCAATGATGCATAAAGAGATTATGTTATTCATCTTCTTGCACTTATCGCTGAGTGGCTTGTAGAGGAAAAAAGTCACGGTGGTATTGTAGAGTGTCTCTCTCTTACTCGGGAGTAGTAAGATTAACTGCGTCATTCCTTCATCACGTTAACAATTATTAATTCAAGGAATTCTCATTTGATATCGACAAGTTGTGATTGAGCAAAAAAACACCACCAAAGACGTGCGCGACGAACAAAATAAGGTGTCTGATTCTCAGAAAAGTTGATTATTATTTAGATTTTCCAAACAGGTGGCGGTCAAGGAGGGGGGTTTTTTCCATCATCTCCCTTCGATCTTTGATCCCAGGGGCAATTCCTCACCAGCTAGCCTCAGCGCACAGGGCTATTCGGACGACCTGTAGCCTCAGTTCATAGGGCAAAATTTCATTTTCGATGGCCATTTCTTCGCGTAGCCATGCATTTGGTAGAAAGGTGAATAAAAGCGGCGTCACTGTCCACAAAATACCTGTTTCAAATCCACGGAGTGCACCCAGGTAACAGCAACAAAGTGGAAGAATTCCATCGTCATTCATTCGATTTCACTCACTCTACATTAAAAACCCGATGCCGACAAGGTGTATAATCTTCCACATACGCACAACTCTATTCCAATCTTAGACCATCATCGCAGACACACAAGACTTTTCCCTTAGAGCGATTTTACGAAGCGATAGTGAATTGTGTTACGAGAAGAGGAAGATGGCTTGTGTGAGCATTCATTTTGTGGAGATTCACTTAAAAGGGATTAATATTCATCTCGCGAGAGATGATTAGCGGAATGTTAATTTGTGAAAATGGACACTTTGGAGAAATTATCTTGTTTGTTTGTCGTACTTTTTTCCCGAGTGAGAGAGATAAAAAGAAAGAGAAGACGAAGCATTTAACCAAACGCCCACATTAGCATATAATTCCATCGTGTAGGACAATGAAGGCAGTAAATATTAAATTATTACTATTAATTCTATAGTGTAATTATTTTCAAAGGAATAGCAATGTTCATTACATTGTTCTCTTATGTCACACCGACAAAATGTTAAAGGAAGAAAAAAAAACATTTAGACAAAGACCATGACTCAGGTGTGATGGATAATTCATAAAGTCAAGGTATAACAAGTAACCTGCAAGAACTTGGATGTATAAATAAATATTCAGGGCGAGTGTGCAAAGACAAAATTGAGATTAGTGAACTTTCAAGTGATTCTCTTTAGCATTTAAATTTGCCTAAAATCGGTCACGCAACTTACATGTCTTTCCGGGGACACAATTTAAGAACACGCGCTCTCTTGTACCAAATACAAGATCAAATATCAGTGTTATTTGGTTCATTTTTTTCCCCTCAGCATCTTATCGTGAAGCCAACAAGTGTAGCAAAACGCCAAACAACTTGAGGTAACAGAGCAATTAGCAGAGCAATTTATGACAAGATTATAATAAATCCAAGATCAATATCGACCTTTGGCAGTCCAATCACTCAATAGAAGTAGAATACTTTTTCATATATTCCAAGAAATATCACATATTTTCAGCAGCATTCTACAAGAGTGTTTCACAATTGAGAAATATTTAGAAAGGCGCGTAGAGATACTCCAAATTCACAAGCACACTTCTGTAACTCCAGAGTTACAGCAGGAGATATGTGGCATGTGTGCATTCTTAGAGAATTGAAAGAGTCTCGTACGAAATTTTAAGCCAATTAACTGAAAATTGAAATTCCAGCTGAGTTATATCATATGGAGCTACACGAAAATAGCAATATAGACAATTGAATAAGACTTTTGGCTTCATTAGCCGACGCGGAGAAAAGAACGAGAATTGGATTGAGGGAGTTTGGCCCAGTCGGACACCACCGCGTGTGCCTCCAGTGGGAGTTCCTTTCATTGGCAGCTCGCTGGGAAGTTAGAATGTTCTGTGAGTGTCAGAATGCTGAGAAAATAAATTATAGAATCAATTTGGAGTCGAAATATCGACCCGAGCACTTCTTTGTTTGCCTCAATCTGGTGGATTTTACGCGCCGGTCTATGGTTAATTCAGCAATTACAATCTGAAAAAAATCTTTATTGATTTCCTTTCAGTGGAAAAATCACAAAACTACGTCAATTGGCACTATCAGAGGAAAATCTTCGCGAGCAATAAATCCTGTACTGATAACTTTCTAGTCCATAAGTAATTACGCAGAGATGATAAACTTTTATTAGCAATTGAATAAGGTGCAATTGTGAAACACTGCGAAAAACACGATATTTCATAAGATTGGAAAAAAGAAACACGCATATTTTCCATAGCGCAGCATTTTGTCAGGAAAACACTTTATTATTGTTACCGTGTTAATTTCACTCAATTATTTAATCCACAATTAAACAGCTAATTAATAGCCGTTCCATTTTCTTCTCATTTCTGAATACCATTCATTTTTGGAGCATCTCATCGAGCTGCGTGGTTGTTTTTTTCGTGGATGACTTCAATACTTGAGCATTTTGTGCTAAATGGATTTCCCGATGAGGAATATTTTTTCAATCTATCATTCCGCGAATCGAATTTGTGGCATACTTCAAATTTCCGATTACATATTTCGTTTACCACAGAATTTATGCTCAAGTTGTGGCATATCTAAGTGAGCATTTTTTACTTCACAAATTGTTTTCAGGGAAGACACTTCTCTTTTCACCCAAATGCATTACCTTTAAGAAGTCACGTAATTACCAGGACTTAAGGTCGCAGGAAGTGCATTGTAATCAAGACTTCAGAGGTGGTCGTAGAAATTCCTCAAGCATTATCTACGTGTTCCATTTCCTCATAGTTTATCAAAGCATTAAGTGGGTGACCAATCCTACAGATTACAACACTCGTCTTCATTGACGTTCATTGCTCTGCGGGCTTAGGTGTATCAGCCTCTTTTGAAATATCCTTGAGAAATACTAATTCTCTCAAAAGACTTTGGCATTCGCAATGAATCCAATGGCCAGATAATGGGTTCTATAAATCTCAATACTTCTGATTTCGTCGTGTTCAGACGTTCTCTTGGTGATATCATCAACGTGACTAATCCTTATCGTGGAAATGTTTCGCCGCGATATAATTATTCAAAGACGTACTACATACCTAAGTTACATGATTGTGAGATTTTTTCCTGGCGGCGCAGCTCTATTATTCGTATTAGAAAAAAAATCTCTGATGTTTGAATCGATTGTCATTGATTGAAATGGCGTTGATTGCGAACTAGAACGTCGCAGAGTAGATGTGAAAAATATGATGGCAATTTATGGAAATCTTTTGCCAACCACTCACCGTTCAGGTGATTCGCAATAGAACACCTAAAACAATTTTATGAATGAATGTGAATCACACATCCAATACACTGTGGCAAAAAGAGGTTAATTTACTAACTCAGCACGTGGATCATTTATCATTTTGCACCAATTAATTACTAATTGTGGCGATTCTTGTGTGTGCAAAATTTATGACCGCTCTGTTATCGAATGTAATGTAATTAAGGAGAAAAGGTTTAGCTGTCTGTCATCTCTTTTTGTTTTTCGCGAATGCTCCAGTTTCGCCCAAGATAATCCCTAATCGCATCTGATGGCTTTACAGGCCTATTTTTGGGCGTCCGCCCCGTGGAATTTTTCAGCCACCGCGTGCTCGGCAATTGGGCACAGAATCTCGATGGCGATGTGTGACACATGGAAGGACGCGAGAAGGTCGCGTCGCACCTGAGAGACGATTTTGTCACCTTCTCTTATTTGTGTGATATTTGAGAAAACACACTGATAACTTCCGATCGCGACGCAATCCATTTTGGTTTTGGAACACAATTGATGCCTGGCCAGTGACGAGATTAGCTCTCCCACCTTCTGTTTTTGTTGTACATGTGGTAAATCGGTGGGTCTTTTGAGGTGTTGTGTGTGGGTCATTTGAAAAGATAGTGAGACTTCTGCAAGAAAGTCTCGGAAAATCACAATCTGACTGGGAGTTAAGCAGTTGAGAAAATGAAGTGATTGCAAAAAGGAGGATCAATTTGCCTGTCTATAATTGTGATATCTGATCAATTAAGTGGATATTGTAAATAATAATAGCTACTTAATATTTACTTTTTGCCATACAGAAATCGCGGCAATTAGACTTGAGCAAGTATCCCGGATCATGAGAGAGCTCGTGCACTTTCTGAGCGACTCTGGGCGCAAATCGAACAGGTAAGTTCTCCAATCCGAGTGAGCTTGTTAGGTGAATTGGAGATATTGAGAGTTGGAGTGGAATGCCTTGAACATTTTATTCAAAATTGATATTGAAGTTGATGCTTGTGTTTGTTGATTTTGCCACTTGAGTGTGGTGGGACAGCGTCTGTGATGATGTCGTTGAGACTCGTTTTCGAAAAAGAGAGAAGGTATAATGCGGCGCGAGTGTGTGCGTGCGGCAGAGAAACAAGTGAAACGATTTGCGCCGATGAAAAGTTGTTCAGTTTAGTTGAGAGAATACTTCGGTGCAGGTTGGACGTTTTGTGCAATTTCTCTGGTTTAGTAAAATAAAATTAAGACTCACTAATCTAATTGTCGTGTATGTGTTTATCTATAGACACTGTATTGCTAATCTGTTGGTTTATATTCGGTGTGAATTGACTGATTTTCCACAAATATAGCTATATTTCCAATTATCTTCCCTTTCTTAAACCTTAAGTGACTGTCTTGAGGCCTGCTGGCGCAAAAAAAGACTCGAGGAGGAAGATAAAAAGTAATAAGGTCTTTTATAATATCACGAGAGTGTTTTTCTCAATGAATGGAGATAAAAATAGAGGAAAAGAAGTGTGAATGTGATTGAAAATGGAACTTGAATAATAAACACATTAATAATGGTGAGAGACACATCAGCCAATACGAGTGTAATTGGTCAATGAGAAATTTTTCGTAGACTTTAATTGCACACACAGTCTTTGGCACAAGAGTGGTGTGTTGTGAAAGTTGACGGAGCCGCTTACTAAATAGCTCAAGAGTGTTGCTTTTTGAAAACGCGTCTGTCACTTTCTGCGGTGTGTGTGTCACAGAAATCGCGCACTTTTTGGACTCTCGATTGCTGGCCGCGAGCTTCGGATCCCCGCGAAAGAGCCTCAAAGTATAATTTCCCAACCGTCAGCCTTCTGTGTAGACACGTTAGCACTTTTGGCCCACTGTCGTCTGCAAGTGCTGTTGTCTCTTCCGATAACAACTCGAGACACCCTCCAACCAGTTGAGAACGCGTGCTGCGAAATCGAGAGGCGCACCGATCAAATGTCGCAGATCCGTGACGTCACAGGTGTTAACAAAAGCCTCTCCGAAGAAATTGCATGAATCAGAACTGAGATCTCGCGGTGAAGGACGTGATTTATTTGGCTGAGAAATATACATTTCACTGAAGGCGGCTTTGTCCCCGGCTTTGACTCATCCCTGAGACCGATGTGAGAAGGTGCAATATTTGCTGAAGAGCCTCACAATCGAGATGAAAGAGGATCTCTGAGTTGCATCGAGGGAGAAGTGAGAGAAAAAAATACAAATAAATAAATTAGCAACGAAGCGTTATAAATTGGAGGCGAAGTGAAGTGCGATGTTTTCTTGTAAATCGTCCAATTGAACAACATTATAATTGCATGAAGAGATACGGAGATTTGTGAGAAGACATAGTCCGAGAGAAACGAGTGAAAAAGTGGAAGGAATTAAACGAGGAAGATTAAACCATATAAATCGCACACATCTGACTCCATCATCAATCACTGGTTGCCAGAAACCTTTTTGTGGGCTAAACTAGTGCACAATCCATAGGCGAAGACAAATTAACTTGTGTACTGACCTTATGTGCAATTAAACTGCACAACTGCACATGCTTTGCCATTGAAATTTCACTGGAATTTCACTGTGGGACACACATTTGGCCAAGCGGGCCTCGATTTCCCTTCAATTTCACCAACATCGACCAGCAACACCGACTCCAAGACGAGACCACCGGTTGGGACAGATAAGAAAATCATCAGGTAAGTTCATTTTCATCATTCTGCTGACGTTTTTTCTTATTCTCACTGCGGTGTGCCTAAACACGTAAAATTCCAATGTTAGACAAGAGAGTCTATTGTAGCGATAAGATACACCTGGCACGCAGTTTTTCTGCCCGCCTTTTGTTGAGAATGTATTTCTTCCTCTGACTCGGGCAAAAGTCATTGAAATGCTATTTTAACATCCACCCCTTTTTTGCCCTAAACCTCCAATTATGGCGGTTCTTCCTTCACGCAATAATCACAAGTCGTCATCTGCCGGGGGAAAGAGAGCTCGAGGAGAAAAATAAGCGGAAATGTTACCTCATCTAGGTTTGAATTCACTATAAGGCTCCCGCCAGGTTAATTCCAAGGTGCTTCGACAGCAAGGTTCTCGTCAATTTATTGTTGTTTACGATCAATCTTTGCTCTGAAAATTCCACTAAAATTGCTGGTAATTTGTGCACTCTGTCTTAATGTACAGAAATTCGGATTAAGATGAGCACTGTAAACATAGTTTGTTCACGTCATTCTACCTTGGCTTAGCCGACAACCGAGAGCCACCAGCTTTCCTTAAAGATCTATCGCACGGCTTATCCATTGTTATCTGCCGCAAGTTCAATTGGAAGAACAATTGGGCTTGCAAAGAGAGCTTCTGAATTAATCCGAAGTCAAATATGGCTCGCAAGTGCTTAAACGTGGAGTAGAACGAGCGTTTCTTTTATCAATTACAACACACTCTTTGGTTAAATTTCCGGTCTGTGACACTGGGCATTAATTCAAATTCAATTTGCTGTTACAAAACGCTCAATTACATAATTTTCTTTGCTCAATAGTATCTGAAAAGAGCATAGGTTTCCACGGAGGAAAGGTAAAGGTATATTGAGAGAGAGTGAGGTTCGGATGTCAATTTTGTTTTAAGTGTTTACTAAAGTGGCTTTTGGATGGGGTGTAAAGAAATTTCAATGTACCATGAATTGTACGATAACATAAATTATTGTCTTTGTGAGTTTCTTCTTCCTTCTCTGGGTGACGCTCCTCTTTCCCATTTGTAAGAGAGATTTATCCCTATTAAGTGCTGTAACGGTACGGCGTCATTTTATTGCAACGCTCTGGACTCTGGAGCAAGTTGAAGCATATTTATTGTTGATAAAGGTGGTGGCATTTTACGAAATTCAACATCTGCACCATTTGTACATGTTCAATATTTTTTCACTCAAGCACTATTTATTCTCTACACAAGAAAGTGATAAGTTACTCAGTTGGTTCTTCCAGTCGGAGCGCTGAAAGTCTCACGTAATTACTCCGAAAGGGTGAATAGTCCTAAGAATGAACGTGACTATTGGCGATTTCCAAAATTGTGTTAAAATCTCATGCAGCGACTGAAAATCTTAGCACAAGCACTGCTTTTATCTTCACGCTTCCTCTTTCTCGATAATCTCTTGTAAACAGGGTGTATTTTTCACTGAACAATTGCGAAGTTTAAATTGTCTGTTAGAATAATATTGAATAAATATTTACTCTGACATAATAGCGCTCTGAATAGAAGTTATACTTCAATGACGAGAAAAAGTGGAATAATTGATACGACGAACAAAAATTATATAAACTTTATCACCTTGAAATACTCGTTTATTGGGCATACATGCAACTATTTTCTTAATATGCGTATTTTCAGTTTTTGTTTATTAATAAAATCTAAGGCACTGGCATAACAAGATTTGCTGCGTTCTCGAGAATATATTTTAATATTTTAAGATCTTAGTGGATTTTTCCTTGGCGGCCTATTAACAGCTGGCAGTTTTCTTGTTTGAATCCCAATCAGAAGAATAGTCCCTGTCTAATGGTTACCGTTACTGGTCTCTGGGTTGACAGGGTGCAAAAGGCTTATTTCCCGCTGATCGACAGCATTACAAGCGGTTATTGGATTTATTGTCAGAAGTCCATTCCGTGGAAGTTCTCTTAAGTGATTCTCCCAAGACAACAAATCAAAAGAGTGTTCTTTCTAGTTCACATTCTTGGCCTTGGCGGTTCTTTCTCCCATGCAGGAGGACACTATAGTGGAATGCCAGTAAGAGCAACACACTGAACCAGTTGAAAAGTACCTTGTAATTTCGATGATAGAATAATCTATATTTATGAATGCATTGCTGAACATTAATGGTAATAAATTTCTTCTTTCTCAATAATTGTTTAGAAGAGAGTGCAAAGCAGGTGGCAGGCAAGGTTCATTATATCGAAATGCTTAGCGAGCAGCCCTTTTAAAAGTCTCGTTCTTCTTCTCTTATGGCCGGTGCTCACATAATTTCTTATATGAATATACGCTGATGTTTCCTGTATTAGATGCATTGTGTTTATTGACTGAGAAATTCCGTGGAATTCACCTCGGCTCTGGCTTCTTCGACCCTCTGCATTTGTCACTCCGGGTGCTTTTATAGTTGTTCAGTAGTTCTTTTCTTCCCTTTCTCGTCCCCCTCGTGAGACAACAAGCGCAGTGGCACAAGAGATGAGGAAATGAATAGGACAGGGATTTTATCTCAGGCCAAGTGTTTGTATATCATGGAAATTATATTGCTGATGCTGTTCGACTTTATCTCACCGTCAAACGGACAAATTCCTAAGCGCTATTTAGGACACTCGATGTTCCTCACTTTCTGCTGAAGTGATGAACAGGTTGATCAGTGGGTTGGCAGCTTGAAGACCATGTCATATAATGTTTCGCGCAAATGAAGGAGTTACTTCCACTTTGACAAACTAATCATTTTCTATGCTTTACACTTTATTATTTACTTACCTCTCAAGTTTATATTATGCGCTTTTTCATGCAACTTGCTGAATTATGACTTATTTTTTGTAGCTTCTTATCTTTCTCTCATTCTCTCACTCACGTACAGCGTCGCGCACGGAATAATGGCGCACACAATTTATGTAATAATACAGTTGTAGTTATTGTTGCTTTTCAGTGAATGTTTCAGCTAGCGAACGGCTATGCATTACAGGTATCTTGGGTTTATGTCCACTCTCGAAAGGGTCTTTCTTTTGTCAAGTTTCTAAACTCGCGTGAAACCTATATTCTTACGAGTCCATCCATGCACAGTAGATTTAACAACACGGCGAAGTCTCACCGCCATTATTAATAACATGAGCCTGTAATGCCACATTATATTGCTTACATACTGAGAATTGTTTAAGTGGAGCGTTACACGATGCGTTTCCACGACATACGGGAAAATATGCAAAGCTATGTTGTGTGCAAAAATGAAAGAAAAGACTATCCAATAACACGACGAAGATGCGCCATGAGAGTCAATGAGGAGAAAGAGAAGATATACTGGGAAATATGTTAGTGAGAAGTGGATAATGAAGAGGGAAGGTCTTTGCTGAAATTGCAGAAAATTGCTAAAGACATATCATAAATATTGCACGAGAGGGAGGATTAGGCCTCGCCACTATTTAATTTGTGTATTGTTGCGAGATGAGCATACGTGAAAAAATGTAATTGTCGAAAAATGCGGCTAAAGAGCAATTTCCCAATGGTTGATACGGTGATTGTAATTTAATTGGGCGTCAGAGCGCAATGAAGGTAGTGTTGCAGGTCTTCGCGAAGGTGAAAGATCACTTTGGGCCTTTTTTTTTCGGTCTGACAATTCCACCGAAAAACAGTCGTACATATATTGATAAAAGTGTCTGCATTCACTTCATAAAGGTGGTTTGAGGTCAAGAGAGTTTTCTTAATTTTTACCGATGATTTGTTCATCTCGAACGCCTAGCTTTTTTGCGCGCAGATCCTCTGTCTTAATTGTTAGGCATTTTGAGGTGTGTATTGCACAAAATTGACGGCACACGTCTAATTAGGAAGATGTTGGAAATCCGCTGGTGATTGTGCAAAGGGAAAGTGTCCGCGCGAGGAGGGCAGCTCTCGCGAAAGATGAGCCCGAGGCACGATGGGAGGGCAAGAAGGTTCGCGCGGGGAAACCTTCACACGTCAACGTCTCAATCATCCGTGGAGGATTCGCATTGACGCGATGGCGTGGCTGGCAAAAAGCTAATGCAAAGCTGGGGCGCATCTCCGATCGTGTGCCTTCGTCCAGAGACCCAGTAATTGGCCGCGATGTACAGGAGTGTGCAGAGAAGTCAATTTTCTCAGTCATTTGCCAGATGATGAGGGCACATCGAAACGGCAAAAACGTCGGTGCCGCTCAATGGATTCAATTGGATGTTATGCAAGAGAGATTCGGTGTGCATTACCTCATCTCTCAACTTCTTTTGCCCATTCATTCAATCGTGCATATTATTTCATCTTACTTATCTCCAGGCTGGGCTCAAGTGCGAATCTCATCCACTGAACCTGTCTCACTGGTCTTTTCGGCAATTTTATCACAACGCGCGACAAGTTTGAGGGACTTTTTTGCCTCGTGCCTTGCGCATTTTGTTCCTCCGCGATTGCGAAACAGCCAACGCATTTTAATCCACCTTTTATCTCGCTCTTTCTCTGAATTAACATCAACACACGGTTGGAGATTATCTCAGCTAGGCCGTATGGGATGCATGATCATATTTGCAAAACCCGTTTTCACCACTTTTTTCTCACTATTCCATCGCAGAGGGATTGAAAGTGTCACTGGAAAAATTAGATACATATTTCAATATTATACCACCTATGAGGGAGTTTTGAGGTGAGGCGATCAGCTCAGCATATTTTATTGGAGATTGAAATAAAACTATTTTATCTTGGCTTTTCCACTGCCACGCCGAATGGAAGTGAAAGAGAAAAACGCCAAGGGGAGGGCAACTACCTTTTTCCTGTGATTATACCACTCATCTTCCGGTGAAAGTTTTTTGGCTTGATAACGCGGTGTCGCGCGACAAATTGAAGAAGAAAGATCAATAAAACTGTCTTGGTAGCTTGAAAGCTCGATGCACCGGTTATCATTTATTTTCTTTATTTATGGATTTTATTTTGACCATAGGATTAAAGCCATGGAGCAAGTTTCTGGCTTGTC